TTTCGAAAACAAAAAATTTGAAAAATCGAAAAGTCGAAAAATCAAGAAATCGGGAAATCGAAACACCAGAAATCGATAAACCGAAAATCGAAAATTCCCAAAATTAAAGTGTTGAAAAAAATTATAAATAGTGAAAAATCGACTATTCAGAAAATCAAAATATCGAAAAATCGAATAGTCGAAAAGTGAAGAAGTCGAAAAATCGGGAAATGGAAAAGTCGAAAAGTCGATTAATCGAAAAACCGAAATTTACAAACATCAAAAACTGAAATATCTAAAAATAAAAAAAAATTAAAGTTTAAAAACTGAATAGAAAAATTAAAAATCTAAAAAATGAAAAATCGTGAAACCGAAATATCGAAAATTAGAAAAATCGAAAAGAAAACAAACTGAAAAATCGAATATCGAAAGTCCGAAGAATTCGAAGAAACGAAAAACCGATAAATCAGAAAACCGAAATTTCATAGATCTAAAAATCGAAAGTCAAGAAATCGAAAAATCAAAAATCAAAATTTCGAAGAATCGAAATATAGAAAAAAACGAAATGCTGAAAGTCGAAAAATCGAAAATTCTAAAATCTAAAAATCGAAAAGTTGAAAAATGGAGACATCAAAATTTAAAAAATTCAAACATCGAAAAAAGTCGAAAAGTTGAAAAAGCGAGAAATCAGGAAATCGAAAAATCAAAAAGTCTAGAAATCGATAAACTGAAAAATCGAAAATTCCCAAAATTAAAATCTTGAAAAAACATTTAAACACTGAAAACCGACAAGACGAAAAATGGAAAATTCGAAAATCGAGAAATGGGAAAATCAAAATATCGAAAAATCGAAAAATCGGTTAATCGAAGAACCGAAATTTACAAACGCCAAAAACTGAAATACTTATTGAAACATCAAAAAGTCGAAAAATTGTAGAATCCAAAAATTAAAAAATTGAAAAAGCGAAAAACCACAAAATCGAAATATCAAAAAATAGAGAAATCGAAAATAAAAAAATGAGGAATCGAAAATGAACAAAACCGGAAATTCGAATACCGAAAATCCGATGAATTCGAAGAAACAAAAATCCGAGAAATCGGGAAACTGAAAATAAAAATTCGAAAATTGAAATTCCGAAGAACCGAAATATGGAAAACACGAAATATTGAAAGTCGAAAAATCGAAAATTCTAAAATCGAAAAGCTGAAAAATGGAAAAATTGAAATTTAAAAAGTTCAAATGTCAAAAATTAGAAATTTCGAAAATAAAAGGTTTGAGAAATCGAAAACCCGAAGAGTCAAAAAGACGAAAAACCGAGAAATCGGAATCAAGAACTCCAGAACTTAATAAACCGGAAAATTAAAATCGAAATATCGGAAAAAAGAGTAACCGAAAATAAAAAATTAAGATTGAAAAGGAAACAAAGTAAAAGTTCGAATGTCAAAAATTTGAAGAAAAATCCGGGAATTCGGAAAACCGAAAATTCGAAAACCTATACGAAAATCGAGAAACCGAAAAATCGGCAATTCGAAAGTCGAAATTTCACTGAGTGTCGAAAAGTCGAAAATTCTAAAATCGAGAAATCGCAAAGTTGAAAAATGGAGCAATCGAAATTTAAAAAATTCAAATGTCGGAAATTAGAAATTTCGAAAATAAAAATTTGAAAAATCGAAAACCAAAAACCGAGAAATCGGGAAATCGAAACATCAAGAAGTCGAGAAATCGATAAACCGAAAAATCGAAAATTTCTAAAATTAAGTGTTAAAAAATTTTGAACATTGAAAAATCGAAAGTCGAAAAAATGGAAAATTAGAAAAATCGAAAAATCGGGAAATAAAATGAATTAGTCGAAAAGTGGAGAAGTCGAAAAATCGGGAAATCGAAAAGGCGAAAAATCGACTAAACGAAAAACGAAATTTTGAAACGCCAAAAATGTAAATACATCAACAAATTTGAAAATCGAAAAGTTGTAGAACCGAAAAATTAAAAAACCGAAAAACTGAATGTCATAAAATAGTGAAATCGCAAATAGAAAATCGAGAAATCGAGAAGGAAACAAACTGATAAATTCGAATAGGTATCGAAAATGCGAAGACTCGAAATATAGAAAAAACGAAATATTGAAAGTCAAAAAATCGAAAATTTGTAAATGGAGAAATCGAAATTTAAAAAATTCGAATGTAGAAAATAGAAATTTCGAAAACAAAAAATTCGAAAAATCGAAAACCCGAAAAGTCGAAAAATCAAGAAATCGGCAAATCGGAACACCAAGAAGGCCAGAAATCGATAAACCGAAAATCGAAAATTCCCAAAATTGAAGTGTTGACAAAAATTCTAAACATTGAAAAACCAACAAGTCGAAACATGGAAAGTTCGGAAAATTGACAATTCGAAAAATCGAATAGTCGAAAAGTGAAGATTTTGAAAAATCGATCAATCGAAAAACCGAAATTTACGAACGACAAAAATTGAAATATTGAAAAACAAAAATTTGAAAGTCGAAAAATCCAAAAATAGAAAAATTTAACGGAAACATTTAACCGAAATATCGGAAAATTGAGAAATTGCAAATAAAAAATCCGATGATTCGAAAAAACGCAAATCCGAGAAATCTGAAAACGGAAAATTGGGAAATCAAAAGATCGAAGATCGAGAAACCGAAAAATCAAAAATTCGAAAATCGAAATTTGAATACTCGAAATATAGAAAAAACGAAATATTGAAAGTCGAAAAATCGAAAATTCTAAAATCGAAAAGTTGAAAAATGAATAAATCGAAATTTAAACAATTCGAATGTAGAGCATTAGAAATTTCGAAAACAAAAAATTTGAAAATCGGAAAATCTTAACACCAAGCTCAGAAATCGATAAACCGAAAATCGAAAATTCGAAATTTACAAACGCCAAAATTTGAAATATTGAAAAATAAAAAAAATTTAAAGACGAAAAATTTAAAAATCAAAACTGAAAAATCGTAAAACCGAAATATCGCAAATTGGAAAAATCGAAAAGAAAACAAACTGAAAATTCGAATATCGAAAATCTGAAGGATTCAAGTATGTAGTAAGAAATAGGAAAACCGAAATTTCAAAAATCCAAAAATCGAAAGTCAATAATTCGAAAAATCAAAAATTCAAAAATCAAAATATCGAAGAATCGCAATATAAAATAAAAAAGTCGAAAACTCGAAAAAAACTAAAATCGAAAAGTTGAAAAATGGAGAAATCAAAATTTTATAAATTCAAGTGTCGAAAATTAGAAATTTGGGAAATACAAAATTTGAAAACTCAAAAGCCGGCAAACTCGAAAAGTTGAAAAAACGAGAAATCAGGAAGTCGAAACATCAAGAAGTCGAGAAAACGTTAAACCGAAAATTCGAAAATTCTCAAAATTGAAAAAAGTTTTAAACACTGAAAACCGACAAGACGAAAAATGGAAAATTCGAAAATCGAGAAATAGGAAAATCAAAATATCGCAAAGTGAAAGTCGAAAAATCGGGAAATCGGAAAGTCCAATAATTAATCGGAAAACCGCAATTTAGAAACGCCAAAAATTTGAATACTTATTGAAAATTTTAAAGTCGAAAAATTGTAGAACCAAAAATAACAAAATTGAAAAAGTGAAAAATCACAAAATCGAAAAGGAAACAAACTGAAAATTCGAATATCGATCCGATGAATTCGAAGGAACGAATATCCGAGAAATCGAAAAACCGAAAACTCGAAAATCTAATCGAAGAAATATAGAAACGCGAAAAATTGAACGTCAAAAAATCGGAAATTCTAAAATCGAAAAATCCAAATGTTGAAAATCGAATTTTAAAAATTCAAGTGTCGAAAATTGGAAATTTTGAATCGAAAACCCGAAGAGTCGAAAAATAAAAAAATTGAGAAATCTAAAAAAATAAAAATCAAAAAACTGAAGAATACCAAGACTGAAATATAATTTAGATTTTTCCAAAAATCTCCAAGTCTAGAATAAACATTCAACACTGATTAAAACCTTAAAACATTTATTTCAGAGATTTCAGAGTATTCGTTTTAGCGGTTTCAAAGCTATTTTTTTGCAAAATATCTGGATATCTAAGATAAAAATTCAATACGGATTCATAAACCACAAATACAGGAGTCCCTTATTTTATCAAATTTAACTAACATTTACTAATGTAAATTTTGTAGATGATGTTATCGTACTGTTGGCTAGCGTTTCACCATATACAGGATAATCCTAATACGCATATAAAATTTGGCAACGATCAGTCCAGTAGTTTCGGAAATTATAGGTCTAATAAAAATTCGGACCGACGACAGGCAGAAAGACAGAAACAGGAGACCTATTTTTTCGTACTCTAGGGGTCATGAAACCTCGAAAAAACATAAAGTAATTTGTCTATTAAATAATTGACCCAAATATGTGTTTATAAAAAAAATCTAAAATATTATAATTTTCAAATATTCATATTTCGGTTTTTCCAAATAGAACACCCTGTATAAGAAAATATGCTTGTAAAGCGAGAGAAGAGAATTTTTAAAAATATATAGGATGTTCAATTCAAAAACAGAACACTTTGTATATCTGAAATTACTTTTAGGTTATTAGAGAAAGTTTCAAATCTAATTTCCATAAACGGGGATTTCCAAATATCGCCTTAATCAATCAACCCATAAGGACAACAGTGCCCCGTACTGACAAATTGGTCCTTAAATTTTTCCAAACCACCCACAACCCAGTAAACAGAGGCGTCGCAACGACTTAAGCCACTTACTTAACCCGTTTAACCCGACTTAACCACAAACCAGCCGCCCCTGACCAAAGGGCGGCACACACAATCAGTTATCTCTCATCAAGATCATCATCAGATATCTCCGGGCGCGAAACATGTCGCTTCTCTACCGACGGCATAGAAAGCGCTTTGCCGAATTACCGGATCGTAGTAGGCGTATCAAATGGGTGGAGCTTCAGCACGAGAACATCATCACTAGAAGTCATAATATTTAGAGTTAGTTCCAAGGAGTAGCTCGCGTAGTTTGCATCACCAGCCGTCATAGACTTAGAAAAACTAGACTGGCATTAGTTCTCTGGTTCGGGAAAATGTTGGAGTGCTCGCGGTGATGGGAAACCCCCGTTCAGTGCTAGCGGCTTTTCCACGAAGAAAATTCTGAGGATTTTTCGGGGCAAGTGCGCGTTTTATTTGTTTAAAGCAATGACTGTTACGGGCAATTTGGGCATTATGCATAGGCACTGCTTTGGATATCCTTTTCAAGGTAGGAGCGAGGGCTTGGGAAATGTGTATCGAGTGCTCGGGAAATTGTGGAAATTGTAGTCGCTGAGGGTGTCTTGGTTCGAAACGGGTTGACGGATATTTGTTTTAAGATCACTGATAAAACACTCTTGTAATTATTGTCAGGTACGTGTTTGTGGTATACAATGTCATACCCGGGGGATTAATACAGAGTCCACTAAAATTTTATCTCATTAATTATTATCTCCATTGTCAAAAACGCGTAAACGATTTTCATTGTTAGTATTGTAATTGCTTAATAAACCCATTTAGAAACAATATTAAAAAAAATTATTACTTAGGTAACAATTTTTGTTTTTGCGTCCGTCGCATTGTTGAATTTTGAACCCGTACTTGAGTACTTATATACTTTTTTATTTTTCTATATTGTGATTATAGTGAGTCTCGGAAAAAGTAAATACCGTTTTTTGGTTTTAGTCGTAGTTCGACCCACTTTTGACCAAGCAATGACCTCAATCTATTCAAAAATCCGCCTTAAAAGATGTCTACTTTTGCCGTCGAATGGTGTTAAAGAGGTACATTTGATTTATTTTGATTGGTCGTTGTTGGTTTTGTGATCGGTATTAGTGTTCTCTATTTTTTAACAATTTTTTGTTGTTTTTATTTATTAAAGGAAACCCGTGTTTCAATTGATAAAATTATTAATTTTAATTATATATTTTTTGATTAGTTTGATATAACATAGAAGGAATAAATTATATAGGATGTCCCGACGGTCTATTCATGGAAATTTACGCATTTATTATAAACTTCGAAAAAATTATTTCTCAAAAAATATTACATTTTATGTGCTTTGCTTCATATCTAAGTAATTTAATTAAAAATTGCCCCTGGTAGTTCTTCAATTAGACCTGTTCTAGGAGAAAATTTGACAGTTTAATACAATTACTTACGAACATATTTCACATGGTAATTTATCGTAAAAAAATAAGGATTTTACAATTAAGCTCCTCCCCTCGGCTAACGACGAATAAAAAAAATCATCACAATTGAGATAGGGTGGGCGGGCGGGGCTTATATTTTGCTTTTTTTTCTAAATATACATGGCCATCTTTTCACAACAAGAAACTTAAAACCTTACACAAATTTTCCATTTTAAACATGTTTTAAATTTCGTGTTGTGAAAAGAAGTCTGCACATATTAAAACAAAAAGGAAAAATGTAAGCCCGCCCACCCGCCCTATCTCTATTGTGATGATTTTTTTAATCATCGTGAGCCAAGAGGGCGGAGCTTAGCTGCAAAATACTTATTTCTTTACAAGAAATTAAATATGTAGTTGTCTTTTCAGAACAAGAAACTTAAAACATATTTATAGTGGAAAAAAAATATCGATTTTGCAATTTAGCCCCATAACTGAAGAAAGAAAGGAAAAAATTTGAAAGTTTTTGACTAATCGATACACTTATTTTTAAAAGGAAACTTAAGTTTTCAATTGATAAAATTATTCATTTTACATGGTCATTTCTTGTAGAGAAATATAAGGATTTTGCAATTAAATTCCGCCCCTTTGGCTCACGACGATTAAAAAAAATCATCACAATTGAGATAGGGCGGGTGGGCGGGGCGCATATTTTGTTTTTTTTTTTTTCTTAAAATATGTAGCTGTCTTTTTAGAACAAGAAACTTAAAACACATTTATAGTGGAAAATTTGTATAAGGAAATATCGATTTTGCAATTAAGCTCCGCCCCATAATTGAAGAAAAAAAGGAAAAAATTTGAAAGTTTTTGACTAATCGATACACTTATTTTTAAAAGGAAACTTACGTTTTCAGTTGATAAAATTATTCATTTTAGATCTATATTTTTTGATGTAGGTATTTTTGATATAAAATAGAAGGAATAAATTATATAGGATGTCCCAATTTAATTTACCCATTTATCACAACCTTTGAAAAAAATATTTCTTGAAAAGAATATCTACGTTTTATCTGCTTTGCTTCATATCTAAATAATTTAATTAAAATTTCCCCTTCTAATTTTTAAATTAAACACATTCTAGGAAAAAATTTGGCAATTTTTGATTAGTCCATATAGACATATTTTTAAAAGAATATCTGAGTTTTTTATTGTATAAAATTATGTGTATATTTTTTGTATATAATCGGAGTAAAAAGATTCTTTGTCAAAAAAAAAGCTATTGATATTTTGCTTGATATGTAGGCAATTTAATTATAATCCTCTCCTCGTAGTTCTTATAATGGCCATATTCTACGAACAAATTTGAAATGTTTGACTAATCGACTTGTTTGGTATATCAAAGAAAACGTACCTTATACAGGGTGTATTAATAGTTTAATTATGGAAAATTACGGATTTATCTTGGACGAAAATTCTTTGTTGAAAGAAGGAAGAAATTTGAACATTTTTGACTAATCGATACACATATTTTTAAAAAGAAATTTAAGTTTTCAATTGATAAAATTGTTCGTTTTAATTATATCTTTTTAGATGTAGGTATTTTTGATATAAAATAAAATGAATAAATTATACAGGATGTCCCAACCGTCTAATCGTGGAAATTTACGCATTTATTACAAACTTTGAAAAAATTATTTCTTGAAAACAATACATTTTAAGTCCTTTGCTTCATATCTAGGTAATTTAAATAAAAATTTCCCGTCGTAATTCTTAAATCAGACGCATTCTAGGAAAAAAATCGACAATTTGTAAATAGTCCATACAGATATATTTTTAAAAGAATATCTGAGTTTTTTATTGTATAAAATTATGTGGATATTTTTTGAATATAATAGGGGTAAAGACTCTTTGTCTAAAAAAAAAAACGTTCTTGGTAGCTTGCTTCAGATGTAGGCAATTTAATTATAACCCTCCCCTCGTAGTTTTTATAAAAGCCATATTCTACATTTAATACACTTAGTTTTCTTGTATAACACGATTACTTAAGAACACATTTCACATGGTAATTTATCGAAAAAAAATAAGGATTTTACAATTAATCTCCGCCCCTATCGGCTTACGACGAATACAAAAAAATCATCAGAATTGAGATAGGGCGGGTGGGCGGGGTTTACCTTTCCCCTGTTTTTCTTAATATACATAGCCATCTTTTCGCAACAAGAAACTTAAAACACGGTGAAAATTGTACATTTTTGCAAGAAAAAATGAATTTCGCAATTATGAGGCGGAGCCTAATTGCAACCTTACACAAGGTCTGCACATATTAAAATAAAAATGCAAACTGTAAGCCCGCCCACCCGCCCTATCTCAATTGTGATGAATTTTTTTATTCGCCGTGAACCAATAGGGCGGAGTTTAACTGCAAAATACTTATTCCTTTACAAGAAATTAAAAATATGTTTTTGAGTGTCGTGTTGTTCAAAGAATACTATGTCTATTAAGAAAAAAAGGCACAATATAAACTCCGCCCACCCACCCGATCTCAATTGTGGTGAATTTTTTTATTTTTAGAAACTTAAAACACGTTCAAAATGGTAAATATGGATTTTGCAATTACGCTCCGCCTCTAGGTCTGCCAACGAATACAAACTTCATTACTATTTAGATCGGGGCAGGTATGGGTGGGGCTTAATCTTCGGCATTAATTTTTTCTTAATGTACATATATAGTACCACGATACTCAAAAACACGTCTTACATGGTCATTTCTTGTAGAGAAATATAAGGATTTTGCAATTAAATTCCGCCCCTTTGGCTCACGACGATTAAAAAAAATCATCACAATTGAGATAGGGCGGGTGGGCGGGGCGCATATTTTGTTTTTTTTTCTTAAAATATGTAGTTGTCTTTTTAGAACAAGAAACTTAAAACATACTTATAGTGGAAAATTTATATAAGGAAATATCGATTTTGCAATTAAGCTCCGCCCCATAATTGAAGAAAGAAAGGAAAAAATTTGATAGTTTTTGACTAATCGATCCACATATTTTTAAAAGGAAACTTAAGTTTTCAATTGATAAAATTATTCATTTTAAATATATATTTTTTGATGTAGGTATTTTTGTTATAAAATAGAAGGAATAAATTATATAGGATGTCCCAATTTAATTTACGCATTTATCACAAGCTTTGAAAAAAATATTCTTGAAAAGAATATCTACGTTTTATCTGCTTTGCTTCATATCTAAATAATTTAATTAAAAATTTCCCCTGGTAATTCTTAAATTAAACACATTCTAGGAAAAAAATTGGCAATTTTTGATTAGTCCATATAGACATATTTTTAAAAGAATATCTGAGTTTTTTATTGTATAAAATTATGTGTATATTTTTTGTATATAATAGGAGTAAATAGATTCTTTGTCAAAAAAAAAGTTATTGGTATTTTGCTTGATATGTAGGCAATTTAATTATAATCCTCCCCTCGTAGTTTTTATAATGGCCATATTCTACGAACAAATTTGAAATGTTTGACTAATCGACTTGTTTGGTATATCAAAGAAAACGTACCTTATACAGGGTGTATTAATAGTTTAATTATGCAAAATTACGGATTTATCTTGGACTTGTTACGAAAATTCTTTGTTGAAAGAAGGAAGAAATTTGAACATTTTTGACTAATCGATACACATATTTTTAAAAAGAAATTTAAGTTTTCAAATGATAAAATTATTCATTTTAATTATATGTTTTTAGATGTAGGTATTTTTGATATAAAATAAAATGAATAAATTATACAGGATGTCCCAACCGTCTAATCGTGGAAATTTACGCATTTATTACAAACTTTGAAAACATTATTTCTTGACAATAATACATTTTATGTCCTTTGCTTCATATCTAGGTAATTTAAATAAAAATTTCCCCTCGTAATTCTTAAATCAGACACATTCTAAGAAAAGATTTGACAATTTTTGATTGGTCCATGCAGAGATATTTTTAAAAGAATATCTGAGTTGTTTATTGTATAAAATTATGTGCATATTTTTTGTATATAATAGGAGTAAAAATTCTTTGTCAAAAAAAAACGTTCTTGGTAGGTTGCTTCATATGTAGGCAATTTAATTATAACCCTCCCCTCGTAGTTTTTATAATGGCCATATTCTACATTTAATACACTTATTAGTTTTCTTTGTATAACACGATTACTTAAGAACACATTTCACAAGGTAATTTATCGTAAAAAATAAGGATTTTACAATTAAGCTCCGCCCCTCGGTTTACGACGAATAAAAAAAAAGCATCAGAATTGCGATAGGGTGGGCGGGCGGGGCTTATATTTTGTCTTTCTTTTTCTCAATATACATAGCCACTTTTTCAGGAAAAATGGATTTCGCAATTATGACGCGGAGCCTAATTTTAAAAATCGATATTACTTCATACAAATTTTCCTTTTTAAACATGTTTTAAATTTCATGTTGAGAAAAGAAGTCTACACATATTAAAACTAAAGGGTAAAATGTAAGCCCGCCCACCCGCCCTGTCTCAATTGTGATAATTTTTTATTCGCCGTGAATCAAGAGAGCGGAGCTTAGCTGCAAAATACTTATTTACTTACAAAAAATTAAAAACGAGTATCGTGTTGTTCAAATGTACCTACTATGCATATTAAGAAAAAAATGGATAATATAGAACCCCGCCCACCCACCCCATCTCAATTGTGATGATTTTTTTTATTCTTAGGTTCTTTTTGTATAAAACTAAGTATATAGTTTTAGTTTATAATAGAAAGGTAAATTATACAGTGTGTACCAGAGGTCTATACATGAAAAATTCCGCATTTACGTGTTAATTGTTTATTTACGGAAAATTACGTGTTTATTTTGGAATATGGTGATAAATATTCCGTGTTGAAAAATAAAAAAAAAACATTTTTGACTAATCGATACGCATATTTAAAAAAAAAGCCTAAGTTTAAAACGATGAAATTTTTAATTTTAATTATTTATTTCTATATGTATTTTTGATAGGAGTAAATTGTACAGGTTATCCCAACGATTTAATCATGGAATTTTCACATTTATTACAAACTTGTGAAAAAATTCTGTGTTGAAAAAAACACGTTTTTTGTCTTTGCTTCATATCGAGGTAATTTAATTAAAAATTTCCCCTCGTAATTCTAAATTAGGCACATCGTAGGAAAAAATTTCACAATTTTTAGTTTTCCATTTATATATTTTTAAAAGAGTACCTGACTTACTTATTGTATAAAACTATGTATATATTTTTAGTATATAATAGAAGTAGTAACTTATACAGGTGTCCCAATTCGCTGTACACGAAAATTTACGCATTTATCACGAACGAGTGAAAAAATTATGTGTAGGAAAAAAAATTATTTGTATTTTGTTTCATATGTAGGCAATTTAATTATAACTCTCCCCTCGTATTTCTTATAGTGGCCATATTCTACGAACAAATTTGAAATTTTTCATTAATTGTTTTAGACAGGAAGGAAACCCGCGTTTTTCATTATAAAAATTATATATTTCTTAGTACATAAGAGGAAGCGTAACTTGTACAGGGTGTGTTAATTGTATCACTACGGAAAATTATGTATTTATCTTGGACTAGTGACAAATATTCTTTCATATTTTTAAAAGGCTACCTAAGTTTTTTATTGTATAAAATTATATGTATATTTTTAGCATATAATGGAAGGAATAAATTATACAGGTGTTCCGAGGCTCTATACACACATTTACCATGGATCAGTGAAAATATTCTTTGTCGGAAAATAAACGTTCTTTGTGCTTTCAATTTAATTATAACCTTCCCCTCGTAGATCTTATAATGACCATATTCTACGAACAAATTTGAAATTTATAACTAATCGAATTACATATTTTTTAAAGGAAACCGGCGATTTTCATTACAAAAAATTAAATTTTTTAGTTTATGAAAGAAACCGTACCTTATACAGGGTATGTTAATAGTTTAATTTTGGAAAATTACGTACTTATCTTGGAATAGTGACGACCAATCTTTGTTGAAATATAAAAAAAATATGGTTTTTATATTTCGTCTCAAAAACAGATTAAGTAGTGTATAACATAACACGATTACTTAAGAACATATTTCACATGGTAAATTTCTCGTAGAAAAATAAGAATTTTACGATTAAGCTCCGCCCCTCGGTGACGACGAATAAAAAAAAATCATCAGAATTGAGATAGGGCGGGTGGGTGGGGCTTATATTTTAAACATGTTTTAAATTTCACGTTGTGAAAAGAAGTCTACACATGTTAAAACTAAAAGGCAAAATGTAAGCCCGCCCACCCACCCTATCTCAATTGTGATTAATGTTTTTATTCGCTGTGAACCAAGAGGGCGGATCCTAACTACAAGATACTTATTTCTTTACAAGAAGTTAAAGACATGTTTATGAGTTTCAAAGAATACTCTGTATATTAAGAAAAAAAGTAACTAATATTCTTTCTTGAAAAATAAACTACAATGGCGTTGTTTGTGCGTTGCTATGTACCTCGGCAGTTTAATTAAAAATCTCCCCTCGTAATTTTTTTATATTGGCTATATTAGAAGAAATTTGAAAATTTTTGACTAATCGATACACATATTTTTAAAAGGAAAGCTAAGTTTTTAATTGATAAAATTATTTGTTTTAATTATACATTTTTAGATGTATTTTTGATATATAATAGAAGAAGTAAATTATACAAGCTGTATCAAGGGTCTAATCATGGAAATTTACGCATTTATTACAAACTTGTGAAAATATTATTTCTTGAAATAAATACGTTTTTTGTGCTTTGCTTCATGTCTAGGCAATTTAATTAAAAATTTCCCCTCGTAATTCTTAATTAAATTGGACACATTTTAGGAAGAATTTTGACAATTTTTTGGTTAGCTATTTAGGTAGGTGTATATTTTTAAAAGGGTATCTGAGTCTCATATTATATAAAACTATGTATATATTTTTAGTATATAATAGAAGACGTAAAATATAGAGGTGTTCCAAAAACCGTTCTTTGTACTTTACTTCATATGGAGATAATTTAATTATAACTCACCCCTCGTAGTTCTCATAGTAACCATATTCTAGGAGCAAATTTGAAATTTTTTATTAATCGTAATTTATACAGGGTGTGTTAATAGTTTAATTGCGGAAAATTACCTTTTTTATAAACTAAAATGGCGTTGTTTGTGCGTTGCTATGTACCTCGGCACTTTAATTAAAAATCTCCCCTCGTAGTTTTTTTATATTGGCTATATTCGAAAAAGAAATTTGAACATTTTTGACTAATCGATACACATATTTTTTATTTCATAAAATTATTTATTTTAATTATATATTTTCATATATAATAGAAAGAGTAAATTATACAGGATGTCTGAAATACTCATTGTCGGAAGATAACACCCCTTAAAATGAAAACACTAAAATTCTAGCCCAATTTCGTCCCCGATTCACCCATGACCCATCTCTGACCGCCCTTTTTCTTCAGGTCAAGGTCGAGTGAACCAACTAGGTGGTGTCTTCATAAACGGGCGCCCTTTGCCGAACCACATAAGACTGAAAATCGTGGAAATGGCGGCGAACGGAATCCGGCCCTGCGTCATTTCCCGGCAGCTGCGGGTGTCCCATGGGTGCGTCAGTAAAATCCTGAACAGATACCAGGTGAGTTGGTAATCGCATACGTGCGTTGGTTAGCTTTTACGGCTTTTTGATTGTTGTTCATGGGTTATGGAAAATGGTTTAATTAAAATCGGAGAATGCTGTCGATCCATTACACTTTTATCGCTACTTAATCATGGGAACATGTAATGAAGTTTCTGTTGTGACTAATATATGGGTCAAATTGTTATCGGAGTCGTAAAAGTGGCACTTGATGATGGAAGTTTTTATGGCACTGATACAGAGAAACGTTTTTCGTTTTGTTCATTTGGGTGCTGTGGTGGTACCGTTATGTTTATTTATTATTCAGTTCGGTTGAATTTGCTACGACTGACTTCTCTTCTGTATGGTTAATTTAATAACGCGATTTTTGAAGCTTCGTACTTGGGTAAATCCGAAATTAATTGATAGCTTTTATACTACAGTAAGTTTAGGTGAATGATTTTTTTCGGTGGGTGACTTCCTACCTGGTTTACGATACACTTGTAAAAATTTGACACTTTCTTCACCCGAATGGAGCAGTTTCACTTTAATGGTTGTGGGTCCTTTTTTTTGGATCATTTCGTGACGATTTGGTTAAGTTTGCTTCCATCTGAAAGACTCCGAATTGGAAAGTTGAAAACTAATAAACTGATACCTTAGAATAAGCTTAGAAAAAATTTGGATATTTTTTTATTAATATACAGGCTGTCCCCATGATCTCGTGTCGCATTTTCCATAAATTGTTAAAAAAATGTAATCCAGGTTACAAGAATTCATCCAGAATTATAATACACCAAATGTGTATTTTTCAGTGAAATACCCTATATATTTACACAAATTTAGATCCGGCATGAAAAAGAAAAGATATTCAAGATATTTGTGCCTTTTTTGTAAAAAACGACAATTTTAAAGATGTCCCAAAATAAATTCTTATTCATTAATTTAGAAAAAACCTACTATGATAAATTTTGATAAATGTGGTATCAAAAGAAAACCTACTTAAAGATAAGCTTCCAGTATTATCAAATACAGGGTGTCCCACTTGAAAAAAGAGATACTGACAATTTTGAAATTTAATAATCTAAATACATTCAAATTCTTTTTCATACTACTTATTGTGAAAAAGCAAGCTAAATCACAAACTTTATACAGGGTGATCAAGAAATTACAGATAAACTAGATGGTACATTGTTAAAAGGCACCGAGGAATTCGAAAAAAAAATTAAGTTGAAGAATTAACCTCACATATATAATATATATAATTTCAGATTACCATCTTTAAATATGGCGGATAAATATAGAAAAAAAATCATAAATAATTTGAGTCCAGTTGTTTTTAAATATCAATTTCATAATAAAGAATTTTTTAGATACTGTCTCTAATTGATATATCTACAGGCTGTCCCAATGATTTCGTGTCGTATTTATGGTGGACTAATAAAAAAAATTAACCCAATCTAGCAGAACTCATTTAGAATTACTTATAATGTAGAATTATTTTCAAATATACGCCAAATATGTATTTTTTAATGGAACACCTATATACATATTTAGATTCCGTATGAAGAAACGGAAAAAATAAGAGATGAATATGTTTTTATTCACTCACTCTTAATATACGTATAAAAGAATTAACAAGGGTCGAACTTATTTATACAGGGTGATTAAATTAGTGCATTGTCATTTTTCTCATGGGACATCCTGTATTTTAAGATATTTTCGAAATTATCTCAAAGTAAACTCAATTCAGTTTAGAAAAAAACCTATTAGTATTAATTTTGATAAAGTTCAGTTCAGTTTTCGAGTTTTCAAATTTAAACGTTACTCAATTTTTATTTTTTCGAATTTTCCATTTTTCTTGATCTTTTGAATTTTTCGTTGCTTTAATTTTACGATTTTCAATTTTCGTTTTGAATTTTTCGATTTGTTCGACTTTTGGATTTATCAAGCTTACGAATTTTGAAGTTTGAAAAATTAAAAATTAAAAAAAAATTGACAGACTTAAAATTTGAAAACTGGAAATCGAAAAATTGTTAAAATCGAAATTGTGAAGTTGAAAAATCGAAAAGTTTTAATTCAAAAACTTGAAAAATGAAGAAACGAAAATCGAAAATTCGAAAAATAATGAAATCCAAAAAGTGAAATCCGGAAAAATTGATAAATCGAAAAACTGAAGAAACAACAAATTGAAAATTAAAAGAAAATCGGGAAACTGAAAAATCGAAACATTTCTAAGTCATAATTTAAAGAAAGGAAAAACTCAAAAAATAAAAAGCGAAAATCGAAAAATTTCAATTGGACAACTTGAAAAACTGGAGAAATGTAAAATGAAAAATCCAGAAAAATAAAAATCATTCCTTTAATTTTACAATTTTGGAAATTTTCGATTTTTCAGTTTTTAGCTTTCTCATTACGACTTTCGAAATTTTCAAGTTTACGAATTTTGAAATATGAAAACTCTAAAATCGAACAATTTTAAAATCGAAAATTGCAAAGTTGAAAAATCGAACAATTTTAATTCAAAAACTAGGAAAATGACGACGCGAAAATCGATAATTCGAAAAAACAATTGATGACCTGAAAAGCGAAAAATTCATAACCTAAAATTTTCAAAAAAGGAAAAATTGAAGTTTCTGAAAATTATAAGATCGAAAAAGTGAAAACCGGAAAAATTGCAAAATCGTAAATTTAAAGGAAAGTTTGAAAAATCATACAATAATAATTGAAAAATCCAAAGGTCGAAAAATTGAAAAAAAGGGAAACATTAAATTTGAAAACTCGGAAACAGAAGAAACGGAAATTGAGAAATTTAAAAATTGAAATAACAAAGTCGTAAATTTGAAAAATCGTACAGTTAATGAAATGAAAAATTAAAAAATTCTAAAATTGAAAAAATCAAAAGTTGAAAAATCGAAAAAATAAGGAAACAAACAACAAATTGAAAACAAAAAAAAGATCGGAAAACTAAAAAATCGAAAAATTTCAAAGTCATAATTTAAAAAAAGAAAAAGTGAAAAATCGAAAAATTTTAATTCGAAAATTTGAAATTCCAAAAAGTAATGAAAATGATGTCTTTAATTTTACGATTTTGCAAATTTTCGATTTTTCAATTTTTAGCTTTTGTATTTTTCAAGTTTCCGAATTTTGAAGTTTTTTTTAAATTTGCGGTTTTTTTCAATTTTGTGAGTTTTTACTTTTTCGAATTTGCAAACGAATTTTTCCATTTTTTGTTTTCACAATTTTTCAAGTTTTCGAATAAAAATGTTTTTCCTTTTTTTAAATTTATGATTTTGGAAGTTTCCGATTTTTCGATTTTTCAGTTTCTTGTTTTTTAATTTTTCGATTGTTCAATTCTTCGGTGTTTTTACTTTCTTTTGAATTATTCGTTGTTTGTTTCTCCAGTTTTTAACTTTCCGATTTTTCAATTTTGTCTTCTCATTTCTTCAAATTTTAAAATTTAATTTAAATCTTTTGAAATTTTCATTGCTCTAAATTTACGAGTCTGAATTTTTGTTTCCAATTTTTCGATTTGTTCGACTTTTGGACTTTCCAACTTTACGAATTTTGAAGTTTGAAAATTGAAAAATCAAAAAAATTTAAATTGCCACTTGAAACTTGAAAAATCAAAAAATTTAAATTCAAAAACTTGAAAAATGAAGAAACGAAAATCTAAATTAAAAAAAAAAACAATTGATAACCTGGAAAATCGAAAAATTGATAAGCTAAAATTTTCAAAAAATTAAAAATTAAAATTTCTAAAAATTATAAAATCGAAAAAGTGAAAACCGGAAAAAAATCTAAAAGTCGAAAAATTGCAACATCGTAAAATTAACGAAACGAAAAATTCAAAAATCAATTTTTAGAAATTTTGATTTTGAGTTTTTTTTTCAAATTTTTTAACCAGTCAATTTTTCGAGTTTTCAAGTTTTCAATTGTTTTTGGATTTTCGATTTTATTTTCTTCATTTTTCATGCTTTTGAATTAAAATTTTTCCATTTTTCAACTTCGCAGTTTTCGATTTCACATTTTTTCGATTTTCGAGTTTTTAAATTTCAACGTCTGTCTGAATATTTTTATTTCCAAAATTCAAAATTCGTAGACTTGAAAAATCGAAAAATCGAAAAATTATAAAATCGAAAAAGTGAAAACCGGAAAAATTGAAACATCGAAAAACTGAGGAAACAACAAATTCAAAATTAAAAAAAATCGGGAAACTGAAAAATCGAAAAATTTCAAAGTCATAATTTACAAAAAGAAAAAACTCAATAATTAATGACAGTGAAAAGTCGAGAAATTTTAATTGGAAAACTTGAAAAACTGAAGAAACGTAAAATGGAAAATCCAAAAAAATTAAAATTGTTTCTTTGATTTTACAATTTGGCAAATTTTCAATTTTTCAGTTTTTAGCTTTCTCAATCTTACGCCTTTTGTATTTTTCAAGTGTCCAGATTTTGAATTTTTTAATTTTTTGAAATTTCTATGTACTTTTTGTTTCCACAGTTTTTCAACTTTTCGAATCAAAATTTTTCATTTTTTAATTTTTGATTTTTCCTTTCTTTAAATTTATGATTTTGAAAGTTTCCGATTTTTCGATTTTTTAGCTTCTTGTTTTTTTAATTTTTTGATTTTTCAATTCTCCGGAGTTTTCAATTTTCGAGTTTTTTTTCTTTCATTTGAATTTTTCACTTTTGATTTCTCCAGTTTTCCAATTTTTTAATTTTCTGTCTTCTTATTTTTCGAATTTTCCATTTTGCACTGTTTTAGTTTTTGAAATTTTAAAATTTAATTTAAATCTTTTGAATTTTTCATTGCTTTAAATTTACGATTCTGAATTTTTGTTTTCAATTTTTCGATTTGTTCGACTTTTGTCTTTTTCAAGTTTACGAATTTTGAAGTTTGAAAATTGAAAAATTAAAAAAATTTAAATTGACTTACTTGAAATTTGAAAACTCGAAAAACGAAAATTAAAAAAAACAATTAACCTTAAAAATCCAATAATTGATTAGCTAAAATTTTCAAAA